CCACCAAAGTATCGGGAAGGTAAAATGAGTAGAAAATGGCATGTGGCCAATGTTTATGAATCTTTGAATAGGATCATAAAATCATAAAAATAATCACCAAAAGGTAAATAAATTACCCAGGTTACTACTTATTTTCACGTACAGTTTGACACACAAGCTGAAGCCATGAATGATTTATACATGTTTTAACAATAATACTCATTTTCCTGAAAGATGGTCAGCACTAAGGCTGCTGTGGGCACAGTGCCAGTTGTCGAAAGGTTAATGTTTCAGCAGCAATACATTAAATTATGAATAATACCCGTCCCAAAATGGAAAGTTATTAGCTCGGTGAGCTTAATTAGCCCAGCTAGAACTTTGCCATCAGCGAGCAGTGCCCACCGCTACCGCGTGGCTATGCAGTACAGCGGGGTTAGAAACCAGAAAGGAGCCTCTTCTTTCACGCAGCCTGGCCGCGGGGCACGGGATTCGCTTCTCGCGCGGCCCCGCTAGCTGCCGGTGCGTGCGGCACCTCTTCGGGGACGGGCCAGGTCACGGCCACGCTGAGACGCCCAGGCCCCTGGCAGGGGGTGCAGCCCGTTTGGGTCCAGCGTTGCCCGTTTCTTGGGCGCTCAACAGAGACGGGCTTAAATATCTTTTCTCTTTGGAGTCGCAGGGACACGTGCTGCTGCCAGAGGACGCTATGAACTGTAATGCAAGTTACTGGCACGTGAATCCTTTGATGTACATGCAACCTATGGGTTCGTTATGGCTGAATTTAACCACTTATGGGTGTGTTATGGCTGAATTTAATCGGTGGATGTGTGGCTACATCTGCCAACAAGCCATAAAAATGGGCATGCCAGAGAGAAAGGAAGGGAGACGGCGGGCCCAGCCCATACATGAATACACGCGTGTGCCAGAGAGGAGGCTCCTCCTCAAGAGACGTCCACGTCTGACATGGCAGGAGGCACTACCGGGCTTGTAGTAGGAGCACTAGGGGTGTTCCAGGCTCGGCGTGTGATGTTCAGGTGTAATTAGTGAGCAATGGATTTAGTCGCAAAGCATTTTTCTTCATTAACGCTTGTTCTCGCCGGCAGTATTCAGGCCTGTACTTCCACAGGCATTTACCTCTTTTACCCATTCATTTATGTAAGGAGGAAAATGTAGATTTTGTTGCTCTTGGTTTATTAGTCAGGATTAAGCATTGCTTTCAAAATACAAAGCACTGATTATTAGAGAAGGATTATTGTTTATTATGGGGTGTTAGACACCCTGCAAACGGAGCCAGAGGTGCAGGCTCGCGACCCCGGGCACGTGCTGCACTTGCGCGAGCCCGGCTCAGTCTGTCGTGTCTTCTCCTTCTTCTAGGTTGGGACAACTTTGCCGAAGAGGAAGTGGAGAACTGCACGAGCTCTGAACCATAACGGCACAGCAAGATGTGGAAGTGATTTATTCGTTCCCATTCCAGCACCATTTATGAGAATTAAAAGATGTTTTAATACACAAGAGAGACTGGGCCAAGCTTCGTAAGAGACATCCAGCGAGAAGCGGGACTGCAGAAACGAGGCACTTGTTTGCGCTGACTCTCCGTGTGCCTCTGTTCATATTCTGAATGGAAAGGAGGAGTCCGGAGGAGAAGAACGAGAAATCCCCGTCCACGTAAGAGACGGCACCAGGTAGGGAGCTGATTCTTCTCCATGTATTTCATGGCTTTATTAGTTCCTTCTTATCCCTCTCTGGGATGTCGCTGCTGGACTTGCTGGAGGGCGATCACTGTTTGTGCTTGTTGCGGTAGGCGATGTGTTGGTAGAGGGATAAGGCTTGGAAAACTAGAGCGATGTCTTTTTACAGCGCGGAACCGGTCTTGGGGACAGAGAGAAAAGGGTGGCGTGGTGAGAAGTGATTTCCTCGCAGCGCGGATGTAAGAGCGCGGGGTGCGGTGCAGGTACCCCTCGTTGCACGTGTAGGTGCGGGAAGGCTTGTAGTGGATGTGACAGTGATGGGGAACAGAGGAATGGGAGGGGGCGTGGGGAGGGAGGGATAGAGAGTTCATTTTTAGGCATGTTTAGTTTGAATTGACAATGAGCCATCCAGGAGGAAATACCAGAGAGATGACCTGAAACGTGAGATTGAGCAGGGAGCGCTGCGGAGAAACTGTCCTGCAAAGATAACTCGACCAGAGCGTGCACATTTGTTTCCGAACCCCGTTTGCCGTATTATGGCATAACCAGGCTGACGCATTAGATGAAAACAAGAAGGAGGGGAGGAGAGAGGACGTGTAAACTTGTACAAACCAGTTCCCCTTTGTAATTAGTCCTGGAGAGCAGGGAAGCAGAAGCTCGTTGTGCATGTGTGGTCATTCAAATTTACTGTTGTTCTTATTAAAGCCCAGTTCTGCAATAATCTTATACCCAGGTAAGGGTAAAAGGAGAGCCAGATGCCCCTAAGCAACCCATAAATAGTGGAGTGAAGACAAAGTGTTTATTACTTAGCCTCGTGAAGGCCATATAAGTGCTCTCCCAGGGTGTGTATATGCCTGTGTCCCAGCTGCCAGGTCTGGCTTAGCTTTATTTCTCAAAACACTATAAAACTGGAAATCATTGTAATACTTGATTTTATCTGACTAGTCTCACACGGTATCTTCAGCCACTTAGCTTCCCTTCGGTAGGAGCAACAGGGTCCTCGTCCCCCCGGCCCTTCTCACAAGATCTCTTGCAGCGTCGTGGCCACGGCCTGCCCCTCTCCGGCGCCCTTCCCCAGGCAGCCCCCGCACCCGGACGCAGTCTCCGCGTAGAGCCGCCATGCAGGTTCTGGTTGATGCCCCTTTTTATTTACAAGCCAAGTTTCCTTTCAGTCCGGCCCATGCTCCTTCTCATCCGCTCGCACGTGCGTGCATGCATATTGCACCGTGGAAAACTGCCGCGCTTTTCCTCGGGGAATCCCGCAGTTTTTCTGCGCGTGGATGCCAGTTCTTTTCGGTTCCCTTGCCTGAGAAAGAGGACCAGTCGTTCGGAAAGCAGACGAATTGTAGAAGCTCGGGGAAAGAAGTCCTGGCGAGCAGGAAAAGTAGAGAGCTGCTGTCCCTGACCAAGGTTTCTGCAAATATCTTGGGACCACAGCGTCTTCCTCCATCGGTCTGAGCCGCACCCTGCCACGTTTTCTTTCCAGCACGCTGCGAGAGAGCTGCCGAAGGGCGCGCTGGTACGGATGAAGCTGCAGAGCGTCTCTGTAGAGGCCATCCCTTCCAAGAAAATTTAGCTTTCCTTTCCTATCCCACAGCCCTCAAAAGGAAAGTTTCAGTCTTGGTTTTGGGGAAAAAACCCAAACCGAACTGCTTGAATACGGATCAGTGCCACGCTCTTGCAGATAGCCTGAAACAGCCTCTCCGAGAGAGGTATGAACTTCCCCATTAATCACAGAAGAGTGATTATTTTGAGGCCTCAAGCTGACAGTTTAAATGGCAATGCTGGTAAATATTTAATTGCTGAGACATACATGAATACGTGACGGTGTGGCATACAGGTCCCATCTGCATGACTTGAGGAGGTCCCCATTACATGTGAATGGAGAAACCACAAGCGAATTATGCAGGCTACCCTAAATGCTTGCCGGTCAAGCCTTAATACCTGTATTACATGACTGTGCGTTCTGTACAAAACATACGTTGCAGAAAAGCTATTTTAGGAATGTTTTAGAGATTTTATTGGGACGATTTTTCGCATCCCTCTTGCTATAAAGCCAGGTGCCTTTGTTACCATGAGTCCAACTGCACAAGAGCAGAGGGGCCTATAAAAATGTCTTTACATGACAAAGTGGCTTTCATAACTAAAAATGTCACAGGCATGAAGTCAGATAGACCAAGGTCTTCTGGGGCTAGAAGCAGGTGCTGGGTCTCATTGGGAAGCTGCAAATCTCCCCCTTCCAGTGGGATAAAGCTCCATTTCTAATGCGACAGGCTTGCAGGATATTGCACGTTGACATCATCACGTTTTTATGCATCGAAAAGCTGGCACTCACCTGGCCTGGGCCTTTGCTAGGGAGAATTTTGAGGGAAATACCATCCTTGACGAGGAGGAGGAAACAGTTTTCAGTAGGTTAATTTATTTTTATAAGCTCAGGTGTTTGAAGCCGTTAAAGGGCTTGATTTGTTAGAGTATCTGTGTCTGGAGCGATCGTGATCGGGCAGTGAGCAAAGGGCGAGGGAGAGCGAGCAAAGGGGCACAACAATAGCTGTTGTGGCAGGGTGAGCATCGCTATGTAAGCACCTCAAAATCGAGAAAACGTTATTTAAATAAGCCTCTCGATTCCTTCTCCTCCCTCTCAGAGAAAACTAGCGTCATTCCTGCGGTAGAGATGGGAAGGGGCGTCGTGGTTTTTTCCTTCTGCAGGGTAGGTAGAGATTGTTATTCCTTTCTCTCTGCGGGAGCAGCAGTGGTCAGAAGAAAACCAAAAGACCACCATAAAGAAACAGTAGTAGGACATGAACAGGAGACCGTGCCATTGATAGAGAATGCCAGAACTGAATTTAGCATCCTTTCCGGCTAACCATGAAAAACAGGATGCTCTACTGGATCTCAACGACCTTTCGTATCTTCTTCATTTTTTTATTGCAACTTCCCTCTTTCAGGTGTGAATGGTTTTAGATTTACAAACCAGTGAGACCTTTATTGCTGGCCACTTTACTGATCGGTTATTACTCTTTAATACATTAATGTGAAAGTAGTATCCAGCACCCCAGTCAGGATTGGTCCCCATCGTGCTGGCACTTTTGCAAATCCTAACAAAAGAACAGCCTCTGCCAACGCACGGAGGGTGATATTTTAAGGGTGGAGGAAGACGAACACATAAAATACACTTTTCCCCCCCCTAAAAGTATTGTTATTTTTGTAATTAGACAAAGAATCAGTTCTCCCCTTACTCCTAGCCATCATTAATTGACTAACTTCATATAATCCGATTTATTCTTTATATTGAGATATTCTCTAAAATGTGAAGAGAACTTTCCAGAAAGAGGAGGGCATGGTCCCTGCTCCAAAAACTGAACAACGTGCAAAAGGAAGGCGAGGATTTTGTGGCTGACGTCTCTGATCGGAGCGCGGCGTGGCTGGGATAGGGCTGTACACGATGTCGAATGCTGTGCGTGCCTCATCCCCGAGACCCAGGCACACCCTGGCCGCTTGCATCTTCCCTGGCCCATCCCAGCTACACCATCCCTCCAGCACGACTGGAAAGAGAGTCAGACAAAGAAAGGCAGAAAGCAATACAGGAGTCAAACAAAGGCATCAGAGGACAGGAGATTATTAATCCCATAGTAAGCTTTTCTGGGGAACACTTCTAAATTGAGCAACCTAAACTGCCTCCCAATCTGCCAGAGCTGGCTCCCCGCCACCCTGGCGCACCAGCACCACCTGCCCCCCTCCGCCTCGCTCCCATCCCCATCCCCATCCCCATCCCCATCGCCCTGCAGCGCCCTGCCTCCCTGCCAACGAGCAGGTTGAATCGCAAGATAAGTTAACAAAATAGAGAGGCAGGAAGTTAGTTGGCTATTTCCTCGGCATTGCAGAAGACGTGGGTCCGAGGAAGAGTTTGCAGGGTTTTGTGGATGTTGATTGCTCCGGGGGTCGCAGGAATCGTGGCTGGGGCCCCTCGCGGGAAAGGGCCCGGGGGAGCGAGCGCTAGCCTCGGCACCCCTTTGTGCCTGGCTCCAGGTGAAAGGCACACGGCTGCTTTGAAACTTGGAGGTGTTTCTCCTCTCTCCGTCCGGTGCAAAGTGGTAAATGTGCCTATTAAAGTGCTAATGTCCTGCAAGTGGAATCCCACCTCCAAGTGTGTTAGGGTAATGAGTTCACACCTAACTAATGGAGACTTAATAGACTCACTAACGGGCTGCCTTTCCCCCAACAGTTTATGACCTCTCCGGATGGCAGTTGTTAGGGCAGAGCGAGCGAGGTTAGGGGCTGAGCGCTGTCCTCCAGCCCGTGCAGCAGCTCCCTTTGATCCCCCTGGTCTCGCAGCCCCTGGCCTCGCTGCCTTGCTCGGGCTCCGGAGGCAGTTTCCAGGGACACTGTCTCTCCACCTTTCTGCGAGGAAAAATAAACAGTTTGAGGCTCCCGTGTCTTTATTAAACATTTCCTTTAAACTGCATACTTTGGCGCCGTGCCCAACTGCACCAAGAAAGCTTCCACAGAGCAGCGCGAGCCTCCGGCTTGGCCACTGGGTTCCCAGGATAAACGACCCTTTGAGAGAGCACGCACCTGCGGCGGGAGCGCCTCCCCGGGGCGTCCCACGGAGGTCCCCTCGACTCCCTGCGGCACGTGACCCTCCGGGCGCGTTTGGGGAAGAGACGGGGCTGAGCGAGGCGTGCCTCGCACACTCGTGTGGGTGCCTGCGCCCACCTGGCGGAGAGGCAGGGAGGCCTACCCGACGCGGCGAGCTTCCATCCTGGCGCGGAGGAA